CAATTTAGATTGATAACTTCAAATATGACATAGACAAGTAGCGATCGCTGGCTCTGATGTGCTCATATATATCACGAGTGTTTCTTTGAGCGTGAATCAGCGTTTGCGGCGGTTTCTTTTTGTGCTACTTTGTAAACGATGGAATTTTGTTGACAAAAAGTGATCTAATTGTCAAAGTTCGGGAAGATCAGCTTCAGACTAGGCAGTTTTTCTGTCTGCTAATCAATTATGATTCAGTAGTACTTCATTTGTCTGCTAATTAATTTATTTTCGTTGGTCTGCTTGTTTTTTAAATTGAATTTATTTATTCTCGATAACTACTTAAATCAACAGTGTGTTTAACTGCTTTTTTTACCGAAAAATAAAATACATGCTTTTTGCAATTTTAATGATACAAATCAATTATTTTTGAAATCATCTGATGTTTCCTACTCGACAATTTTTAGGATAAATAAACTGATAAGTGGGGCTTCAGGAACCGATTGTTTGCGGGTAATTAAAAATCTAAAATTCTCAATTATTTATCTGACTTAGAGATTATCTCTTACCGGCGCGTCTGCCCTGACAAACTCATAGTTAGACCAGGCGCGGATGTAGGAATTTCTCGAGGGGGGGGGGGCGGATTTTCAATAAAGTTTGAAAATTTTGTCAACCTTTTTTTAGGTCGACCAAATTGATTTTCTGAGCTCTCTCATACCACTTTACAGACCCTAATTTGACCAAATTTTCTGCACCGCAGGTAAAGTTTTGAAAATAAAGGCGTTTTTAGGCTTTTTTTGGAAATTTCAACCAAAAAATTGCGTTTTTTCGGCGCGCGCTTCCACCTCACAGTTAGCATAGAAAATTTTTAGGGTCCGCCACCAAATATGGATATCTCAAACTAGTCGAAGGGGGGAGCCTTTGGGTCAGCAGGGAGTCGAACTCCCCCCCCCCCCCCTAAATCCGCTACTGGTTTAGACTGTAGAATGACTGTTTCTATAAAATGACTGTTTTAGTTTTTTTGCTTCTTCTGAATTGCCCGTATCCAGCCTATGATTTTTTCACCATGCCTATGATTTTTATTTAGTCAGCGTTGTTTTAAATTTAAAACCTTGTCTAAAAAAAAGTTTTTTTTTTTGCTTGCTAGATAATTGTTTAAAAATCTCATGTTTGCTTGGGTAAGTATAGCTGACTTAGAGATTTCAATAATTTATATAGAATAGATTATATAAAAATTGATTATATAGATTATATAGAAACCTACAATAGATTATATAAAAACATAGATTATATAGAAACATATATAATCTATTGTAAGAGGTACAAACAAATATTATATATGTTGAAATCAAGTTCGATCAGTTGGTTCAAGTGTTCATTATCATAACAATAAAATTAGCCTACCTGACTAATCTGGTTCCCTCACATATCAAAACTTACATTATTTATGCGGTAATAAGGTTCAAGCGTTTTTAGTTTTATTTGTAAATCGTTGCAATCCTTGAACACTTTTTATCCAAGCAATTTGAAAAAACCCTAGAAATAGTTTGTGTTCAGACTTTTGAAGAACAGTAACGGAATATAGATGCTCGGAGTGTTTTTTAATTTAGACCAAATCTGACAACCGAAATAAGTTTTTTAAATTACTAATTTTTATTACTCTATTGAAGATATTGACTATGACTACTTGAGTACAAGTGTAAGAAATGTTTTTCCTTGATTATATTTGCGAGCAGGGGCGGATTTAGGGGGGGGGGCGGACGCCCCCCCCCCTCAGGGATTTGACCCCCTGCCGACCCAAAGGGTCCCCCCTTTGATACTTTTTCAGAAATCCATTTTTGGCCGACCGACCCTAAAATTTTTCTAAAGGCGCCTTTGGCGCCAATATATGCTATTTTTGAGGGGGAGCGCGCGCCAAAAAACGCATTTTTTTTTGTCAAAATTTTTCAAAAAGTGCCCAAAAAACGGCTTTTTTGACTGTTGATTGGAAAATTTTTTGAAAATCCGCCCCCCCCCCCCCTCGAGAAAATCCTAGATCCGCCCCTGTTTGCGAGGTTGCAAATTTTTTGAACTAATTTCTGCGCGCTTGAAAATTGTCTATAGTAGTGAGCGCGTAAAACAAATAATTTTGCCTGCCAAATTATTCTGCACTTAACGCCGTTGAAATGAAGTAGGCTAATTGATCATAAATTTTCTTACACGATTCAAATAACACTTAAAATTGATGTTAGTCAGTGAAAACGTAACTTTTATGCCTATCAGTGATTCCGTCCTGATTGCAGTTTTGTTTAAAATTTTGACGACCAAATTGAATTTTCGAGCTCTCCCAAATCATCTTCAAGGCCCCAATTTGACCATTTTCTTAAAAAAAAAAAACCGGCTAAGTTTTGTAAGAAAAAAAAACAGGCCAAAAAATTTTTTGGACCACTCAGCCGAGCATGGATGTCGTAAAATTGTAAACTATCAAAAATGGGTGGCGAGGGGATCGAATTTTTGAAGGGGTACAGGGTGGGGTGGCGTCCCTTTACCCGCACCCTCAATTTCCTCCCCTGAATCTATCGTTTGTTGTTCAAAAATTTCCGAACCATGAAATACATTTTTTTTTCAAATACAGAACATGTTATCATAAGTTGATAAAGTTGATTTTGTCCGACGTGAACAACGATGTATTTTTAGTCTGCGATTAACGAAAAATTTAAAAAATGCTCATACAAAGCTGAAAACAAAGTAATACGGAGGCGTTTCATCATTAATTTTGCTTTTTGTATACTTTTGTTGGTATACATGAAAACGCAGAATGTGGCGTTTTTCATTCTTAAAGCAGAAATTTGTTGTTCATTTTTGAATGTAGACTTGGCTTATATGCACAAAAACAACGTGCTTTTCTACTCTCAAACCACA